CGATCGTGACATATGGGTAGTTTTCTAAATTAGGGTCTCTTTTTAGATCCCCAAAACAGTACGGCACCCGTTTTTATAGGACCCGAAAAGGGGCCCAATTGCGAGAGCTGCCCCATATATCAGGTCCATAATGGGATCCCAAATTTGCTATCCGAAAGCAGAGCGAGAAGAATGATGTGATGGTCCGAGGGGCTCATGCTTGCAGAGGTCCAGATCCGCCGGCGCCTTTTACAGAGAGAGAGAGAGAGACACAGACAGAGACAGAGATAGAGTAAGAAAGAGAGAGGGGGAGAGAGAGTGTATGTGAAAGAGGGAGAGGGAGAGGGAGAGGGAGGGAGAGAAGAGAGAGAGAGAGAGAGAAAGAGACAAACAATGTGAGAGTGAGAGAGAGATTGGGAGAGAGAGAGAGCGAGAGAGCGAGAGAGAGGGAGACGGGATTTCGAGACAAATGGATGAAGTGAACCCTAAACCTAAGCTCCACATCTATAATGTAAGGAAGGCTCATTTTGCCCTTATTATATTCGTGCATACGATCATGCATTCCCCAGCTTGCCTGCCTGCCAAACCTTTCATGTTTTGTGTTTGCCCCACTGTAAGCACCATCTGGTGCCGTGCGCTGCGTGCCGGGCATTCTGTTGTTTCATCGAGTCTCAGACTTCCTTTGTTCTTTTGCAGCCTCCAGATACGCATGTCCACAAGGTCGGAAGTAGTTGAAACTGCGAGTATACCTATGGTCTCCATTGTAGTTCCTTTTTGGGGATGCCTTATAAAATCCTTAATATATTATTGGTTAGACCAAAAAAAGGAACTACAATGGAGACTACAGGTATCACGGAAGCAGTTTGAGATGCCTCTCGGCGACTCTTGCGGCCTCACAGACCCGAACTCCAAGCTGCTCCCGATGGTGCGGCTACCCATAGGCCCCATAGTACCATGGTAGTTCCTTGTTGGGGTAACCTTACAGGATCCTACCAAAACGGAACTACTTTAGGGCCTATAGGTAGTTCATAGGGCCCCATAGTAGTTCCTTTTTGGGATTACTTTATAGGATTCTAGATATGAACCCCAAAAAGGAACTACTATGGGGTCTATGGGTAGTTCATAGGGCCCCTCATGGGTGGGGTTCGCACTTCGGAAACTTTGTTCTCGGCAACCTTAGCAGGGAACACAAGCAGAGAAAACTTCATGGAGGCGATTCCTGACGGCCTGGCTGGACTACCAGGGTATACAAGCGTGCGTAATCACCAAGGCTCAGTAGGTCACCAAAGTCTAAGGTTGGAACAAGTTCACCTACTGAGCTACACCGGGAACATGCAACTCGAATAAAACCCAAAGCCGCTCAACATCTGTGGAACTCCATACACCACGTTCCTATCAGCTCTCAACCGGTTGGAGCCTTCTCGCGCCCTCCGCTGTTGAGCCTGGGCTGCACTGGACTGCTCATTTGCAGATGAATTTCCCAAGGTGCTACTTCTGTTTCAAGGCCTTTTTGTCAGAACCCCCGTTTTCCGTCCACACTGCTTGGAAAGACAAGGTCTGGGCACGGTCAGAGCGATCCTTAAAGCAAAACCTGACGGCTTTCCTCCAGTATCGGAAGCCCCGGGCCCCGAACCCGGAACCTAAGATTTTGCACTGAAGCCAGGAACAGGGAATCACATCGCAAACATCGTAGTGCCACCCCGTACTCCGTTAAACTCTACCAGCTGGCCACTCATCACTCACTCGCCCATAGTCTCAGCCTCAATGATTAAGACCATGCTCCGCTTGTGTTGGAATTTGCGGCCGCGTCCTTGCCTGACATTTCGGAACTAGATTCCTACACAACAACCCCCCCTAAACCCTCAACCAATCCTAAACCCTGGGCCGTAAACACAGGCCAGGGGCAAGCGGCACCGTTGCGGTGAGGGCTCGAGCGCTAGCACCCGGATATTCGTTGAGGGCGGCGTGCCAGGGCCTGCTATTATTATATGGCGTAATGCGGAGCCCTGCTGAATAAACCGCCCTTCCTGCATGAATATCTCGGGGATCCTAATATCAAGCCTGCCAGCAAAGCTAGTTATACAGTAGTGCTCAAGTATAGAAGTTGAGCGTTCGGGATTTTATGCACTCATGCGGTTTCAAGTTCGGACTTAGGCTGTAGGAGTTCGCTTCAAAGACGGCAGCGACACAGTCGTGTTGTGTAAGGTTTCCTATCCCTGGAATTTCCTTGTCGAGTAGACCAACGGAGAGACTCCGACTTAGGATTTAACTCGCCTCGCTGGCTTTGCCTTGAAAGGGGGCTTGACTCCAGGATCTCTTCACGAAGAGAAGCTCCTTGAAATGTGGCAAGGTTTCGGGTTTAGGTTTTACGGTTAGCCCTTGCTTTCACAAGGGAGGCGAAGCTTTCGTTTCAAACGGCGCTTGTGATATTAATATTGGAGCCTGTAAACTAAAGCCCTACGTAATCGGTAGATTGTAATCCTGCACGCTCTTGCTGTGCAACCAGAAGAATACGGACTCTTGAACACTGACATTATGACGGTTTCTGTCTCGCCTGAGATTCAAGGCATGTTCTGAGAACGCCAACTACACCACAAGGGCGGCTCTTCGAATCTTCGCGTATGAGCTTTTCTAAGTTTCCAGCTTACGGGTTTATAGTTTCGGGCTTTAGGTCAAGGGTTTATTTTAGTTTTAGTCAAACTTAAACCTCAAACCCTCAATCCAGAAACCCTAAACCCTTCGTCAAACCAAAACCTCCGCAACCCTGGAAAACTGCAACACCCTGGCTGAACTATGGACCTCCACCTTGAATCTAGCTGGCCCCGAACCCTGCCTCCTTAACCTCTCAGGTTCTAGGGTTTAAGAACGTTCTTGCTATCCTAAACCCTTAACCCTATAAACCCAACTCCTAACCCCCAAACCCTAGCTCCATCCGCCTCCCGGCCACTCGGATGCTGTGCCGACAACAGCGTCCCAGAATGCGATGCATGCACAGCTCACAGATCCTGTCGTGAAGGGTTCGGTCGGGAGTTTTGGGTTTTAGGATTTAGGGTCAAGGTTATAAGGTTTTACTGTTAGAGCTTTCAAGGTTAAGGCCGGCTTTGACGGTTATCCAGTGGGCAACGGCTCTGAAACAACGAAGATGCTGACAAGTGCAGCACTCCAAATCTCAGGCCACTCAGCATCGCTGCGCTTCTTGAAGGCCTGGCGCTCTTCGGAAAGCCTCTTAGCCTTCGCCTTGGCTTTACCCAGAGGCCCCATAGTAGTTCCTTTTTGGGGTTAAATATAATGATAATGTAATCCCAACAAGGAACTACTACGGGGCCTATGGGTAGACTTGCCTGTGGCTTTGGTTTCGGCCTTGAGCTCTGCTTCGGCCCGCCGCAGCAAGCGACTGCGCCTGAACGTCTTTCAGCACCGCGGCGGCCAGGTCAAACCGAGTGCACCGCTCGTTGTGCGAACTGGTATGTAGTTGCACTTTGGGTACCTGGGTAAGGCTGCCGGCTTCTGGCTGTTATCTCTTCTTTAGCACTGCCGAGGCCACGGCGGGCTGGGTGGCAGTGCTCCCTGGGTCTTTATTATGTAGGGTCCTGTATATGAATCCTAATACATTGGGGTTATGGGGGCCAGGGTTTCTTAATGAGGTTCCGACATTAATTACCGGGAGATCCTTGAGTGTGATGTAAGGACTGTTCCTTGATTCAGGGCCTTTGGAGTCTCTGGACTAGGAGCCCTATAAGCCCTTGTAAGCCAAATTACGCAGTCTGTTCCCAAGATCAAACAATCTGATCCGCAGTCGTCGTACTGGCCACGATGCCCAGCATGATCAATTAGCACCGTCAGAGCAGTCCGACGCTCATATGTTGCGTCGCCAAACTTTACCCTACACCCTAAACCAACCCTAAAACCCTTTAAACCCTACACCCTACACCCTAAACCAACCCTAAAACCCTAAACCCTACACCCTACACCCTAAACCAACCCTAAAACCCATATCCTAAACCCTACACCCTAAACCTGAACCTCTCAACCCTGAACCCCTTCATCTGGCCCTAAGCTTAACGTGACAAGCTATTGGATTCATCCTGGACCGAAGCTCAAACTTCTAGGACATCCTGCAATGAGCGCCTTGTATCCGACATCATACAAACGCCTAGATAAGTTGAACAGGATTTCGGGGTCGATCAGAGTAGACGTTTAGTAAGGAGCCCTCAGGAATTCACGTTATCATTTATTTCTACCGTCTTCGGTATTGTTGGATTTTAGTTCCGAAGTTCAGGGCCTTGCAAGGTGTAAGAAACAGTAACCCCTACTTGTCCTTTATGCTAGGGAACTAAATGTAAACCTCTGGGATTATATCGGGACTACATAATACCCCCCAAAACGGTAACCGTTAGCCAAATCCGACTGCTAAGAACCGACTGAATTCTACACCCAGCCCCAGGCTCCACGTGCCGAACTACCGTGCTCAACCTGACCCCAAGCTTAAGCCGGTAAAGTATCAGGGGCTCAGGGTTTAGGTTGTAGGATTTAGCGCTTAGGGTTTAGGGGGGTTTAGGTTGTAGGATTGAGGGTTTCAGAATCAGTTTCAGCATTATGCAGTACGACAGGCAGTCATCAGCTATCATACTCAGCCTGGATCAACATCACAAACACCAGCTTGATGATTTGAGCAGTGTTTAGACCATTGAGTTAGTTGAGCCTGAAGTAAATATCCCGGTTCAAAAGCATGAACGAGGCAGATACTCCCAAAAACTGAGCTAAACCACCATGTTTGTTCGAAGTAAGAGCCCCAGTACACATATGCACCTACGTGTGCACAGAGTCTTGGCAACAGCCCTTTGCTCCTGCGGCCCCCAAATCCTGAACCTCCTGCGAATTCAAAAAACACCATGGCCCTGCTGAATGTAACGATCCTGCTGAGAAGCAAGAACAGGACCCCTGAATCCTAACTAAACCTCTGAATAAATTACCCTAAACCCCTAAACCCTGAAACTATTCAACAGCCCTTAAAGGCACCCCTATACTTTGACCCTTCCATATCCCCTGCCTGTTTTACCACCCCTGCCTGCGTAGGCTCCCACATCCAAGACCTGCACGTCAGGAGACCCAGGCGGCATCGTCATGGCTAAGGCCAGGAAGATGCTTGGAATGACCTGGAAGCAATCTGTGGCTGCCCTAAACCCTAAACCCTAAACCCTAAACCTGACAATCCAGGGGCTACGGTCGGGGTTGGCCTGCAAGAAGCTTAGGATTTGGGTTCCGAGCTTGTGAGATATGCTTGGTTTGCCGGACTCAAACACAGAAGCCATAAGCAGTACAGATATACTCATATATGACAAGCCAATCTCAGAGTCGTGTTGCGGGTTGGTGGAATGCAGTGTTTGCGCAAGGGCTCAGGTTTTGTGGGAGAAATTGAGCTTCGGTGATAGGGTTTACGACTACGACTTGTAGGGTTGACTTAGGGTGCAGGAGTTATGAGGTGTGTTTAGGATTCACCGGGTGATTTCACGCTGCAACACGCCAGAAAACCAATCGGCACAGTTCTCCAGAAAACACACAACCGGCTGAAACCGTTCTTGCATCAAGGTATCCGAACATTGTCACTGGAGAAACTGTTCCCAAGATCTCCAGTTACCTAAATAGTAGGTTACTAACCCTATACTATGTGCTCCAGCAACCTACTGTTTAGGTAACTGGAGCCCTAAACCCTAAACCCTAAACCCTAAACCCTAAACCCGGAGTCCTAGGGGTTGTGAAGCCCCCAAACACGACTAGTGGCTTGCGCCACTCTGCAAGTCCTACCTACAGGAGCTAGGCCTGCATCGACGGTTTAGGGTTTAGGGTTTAGGGTTTAGGGTTTAGGGTTTAGGGTTTAGGGTTTGGGGTTTAGGGTTTAGGGGGGTTTGGGGATACATGCCAAACGGCTAACGCCCTAAACAAACTACTACAGAAAAGCTTTAAGCATTTGTGGTTAACGTTCCTGGCGCTATCTCCCTTTAGGAGTATCTGGGTCCTAAGTTAGGCTCCGGCCTTTAAACACCCTAAACCCTGAAAATAAAAAGCACTGCTGAATCTGCGCAAAGTCGCGTGCTCGATATCCAGAAAGACTGGGTCGGGAATCTCCTCAAGTTTAAGGGTTCCTTAAACTAAGGTTGCTTCCAGGGTTCTTTTTATGTAAGGGATTCTATAAGGGTTGGTTCCTAGAAGTATTCCTTCGGTCCTTGATTTGGGGGGGGGGGGGGGGTTACCCATTCGGACTGCCGTGGGCTCTTGAGTACTTACAGTCTTTAAAGACTGCAGGATTCAAGCCTTAGGGTTTAGGGCTCTGAGAGGCTTATCATCACAAGGTGCAAGGGTCATGGCACAAGAAGCCTTTCCCGAGCATGAGAAAGGACAACCTCTCCACTCTAAGCTCTAACCCGCTGTCCTGAAGCCAGAACCCATGTCTTGCTCTTGTCGTTACCGTTACAACTAGACTGTGGCCATTGCCACAACCCAAATCTCGACTGCGATTACGACTCGGATTCTCATCATGATGATTATTGGCAGTGATATTACACGAGATTTCTTGATTGGTACCTGTCAGCTTCTTCCTCTTTTGAACCGCTGCAAAAGACTTCTTGCGGCCAAGCTTTCCCCCGTCAGGTAAATGCCCATGAGGTGCTCAAAGTACATTCGCATCTCCGCGACGCCTCTCATATCGCCACGACATGGGGTAAGGGTTTTAGATTTCTGCTTGGTGTCTGGGGTTTCAGATTTAAGCTCTGGCGGGGTGGGTTAGTCTGGCTCAGTCCTACCCCGGGTTCAGCGACCCGGGGTGTGGATTGGATTCTGTGCTTGTCGACTATGGGCGAAGGAGTGGAGGACTCAAGTGTGCTGCTGCTTGTAGAAGGCAGTGGCATCTATGTCTGAGTGCATGTTCGGCGAGAACATGGACGGCACTTTCATGATCGAGCATGATCAGGAATGACGAATAGCAGAGTGTCTATCGATGCTGTACATGGTAGGTGTGGTCGGGAGGTACTTAACATTGGTGCTAAGTATAGGGTGGTAATTACGATGGGATGGTGGTATGTGCAGATCTTTCGCCGGCCTTACCACCTCATACCGGATAATTCAGGATCAGAATTTCACGACGCAGCATCATGGCTTGAACTTGAATCCGCATGTCGCATGCAGTTCCGCAGCATGTCACTCTTGACTCAGTGTTTATGTCGTGCGACGGCAGAATCAAAAAATGTCGCCCTGCAGGTAGCAAGGGAAGTTCGTTCCCGGTTTGGTTGCCAGAAACGCAAACAAGCTCCGTTGAAATCAACACTGAATTCCCGAAACCTTTCAATGTGTAGCCCGAGCTTAAACTCCATTCACAGCACAAGGTTTATAGATTCAGGAAACTGAAGCAACAACGTAGACCCCTGACAAGGGCTTTTCTGGCACCATTTTTTTCCCAATTTCAGGGTTCAGGGAAACACCCTGCTTACAATCATCTTGAAAGAGACGGGTTCATTATGCAGGGGTCTGCACAAACCCGGACCCTAAACCCCTAAACGCAGTCCTGGAGTGCGATCCTGAAGCAGGGAAGGTGCAGAAGCAAGCTCCTGGGTTGCAGTGTAAGGGAGCGACAGAAGTCACTTCGAGGGGTATTTCTACGGCTCTGAAACGTCGAATAAAGGTTTAGGGTTTCAGCGAACCCCTAAACCCTAAGCCCCCTAGAGCCCCTTCGGCCCTATATAGTAGGTACCCGGAAGATCAGGGCCGTTCAGGGTCTCAGGGTCTTTTGGGGGTTTGGGGCTCGCCGAAGACTTGAGGTCTGGCTACGATTGCTTCGAAGGAACCCGAAGGTCTCCTTTGAGGGTTCCTAGGGTTTAGGGTTTAGGGTTTAGGGTTTTGGTTTAGTATACCATGACGGCTTTTAGGGTTTCTTCAAGAGAAGTACCATGACGGCTTTTAGGGTTTCTTCAAAGGAACTATGAGGGCTCCTAGAAGGGTTTCTATGAGGCTACTAGGACGGCTTTAGGGTTTAGGGCTTTGGGTCTGCAGTCTCGTTGGGTTTGGGGTTTGGGCTAGCGGTCTGAGTCTGAAGCGTTCGCGAGGAGATGCAATCGCTACCACCGTACATGCTCTTCGTTCCCGGAACACCTGCATCTGCACTCTCTACCCATAGGCCCTAAAGTAGTTCCTTCTTGGGGTTCATATTTAGAATCCTATAAGGTAATCCCAAGAAGGAACTACTTCAGGGCCTATGGGTAGATGGACCTCCTCCAGTCAATACCAGGCCCCATGGCTTGGCTTACGGTGTCAAGGGTGTAAGGCTAAGAGCGTACCCATAGGCATAGGCCCCATAGTAGTTCCTTTTTGGGGTTCATATTCAGAACCCTATAAGGTAATCCCAAAAAGGAACTACTATAATACTATGGGGCCTATGGGTAGAGTTTTGGGCTTAGGGTTCAGGGTGGGGTCACGACCCCCACTGCAAGCCCGCACTCGAAGCTGCTTGGTTGGAGCTGCTTACACGGCTTTCGCGAGCGTATGCTTAAAGGAAACTACAGGTGGGGAGTTTAGGGTATATAGGGCTTCTATAAGGCTTCTACAAGGTATATAGACCTTCTACAAGGCTCCTGTTACGGTAACTACCCACCTGGAAATGTCCTAGATATGCTTCACGATTCAGACCCGATTTCGCGTTGCTACGGCCCTAAACCCTAAACCCTAAACCCTGAACCCCTAAACCCTGAGGACATCACAGGCAAGCAGCTTCCATCTGACACTGAAGCAGGCCGTCACAGTCCCAGCTGCCTCCACCTTGGGTTTCACTGTCGGGAACTCACAATGGCGACATTCATTCGATGATTCTGACCGTAATTGGGGGCCTAAATAATTCCCAATACTCTGTTGGGGGTTTAGTATAAGGGGCCCCAAAACCCTANNCCCTATTCTAATCATTCTGGCCCCTAGATTACATGCCGAGAACCATAAGCAGCCAGCAGCCAAGCTGCGGCACTCTCCGAAGACGCTTCGAAATCCCAACGGCTAAGATCCCTCATCCTGTATGGCACAACCCCGCTGGCTTAAGGCTGCGCTTTTGGGACAGACCTCCAAGATTGAGGGGCCACTCTCATATTCTGACTGCTCCCATCACACTGAGCATTTGAAGCGCAAACCCATGTCGCCAACTTTAGGGGTTTAGGGTTTAGG